GAAGATTGGCCACGGATGTAGCATAAGCAGGAATCCGTGCAACCGTCATGGGAACTGATTTACGAGAGACTGGGGGGATGGGGGATCAAAGTAATCGTGTGTACATGAGAAACAGATATCCATGTATTGCATTAATACCTACGCTATTCGAGGAATTCTCTCCTTACCCTAGCAGCCGAAAGGTTTGTGTAGTCTTAAATGGAAATGGCCTTCAAGATTTGCAGGTACTAGGTGCGTTTATATACTTACGGTACAAAGCATTGGCATACATCAGCCTCTCATTTCAGTAATCCTCACTCTTTCCTATGCCATTTTCTTAATTTGAACCCCGATTTCGTGACTTATGGTTTGAATATGATAGGCGTGGTTCAGGCTTATCTGCCTTACGAACAGGGTTAACCTCTGCTGCAGAGCTGCAGAAGCCAGGCCTTGGTTGCTTGGACACAGCAGTCGGTGGTGGTGCCGCATACGGCAGCAGAGGCAGGCTGTGCTGTCAGAAGTGCTTTGAATCAATTGGCTGGTCCGGGTTATAAATAAACCCACTTCGGTACTCGCAAGCCTCAAAGTGTCCTTGGAAATGGTTCAGGTTCTCTGTGAGTCCACTTGCTGTGCAACGTTATTTGTGTGCACGGTATGTCATCAAGTGCACGCCGTTTTCCATGTTCACTTCATCTGTCTCCACACAGTAGCAAGTCGGAAGCTCGTTTGTCATTTCGACCGCAGTCTGCGGCTACGCGGTCGAATGGAATGGGTGAGGTGATTAGAGTCACCTTGGAAGTAGACGACTAGGCACAAGCACCCAGCCTACATCCTGTCATCGGATGCGAACTAAACGAAGAGATAAGACTTGGCCTCGTGTGAAGGCGGAATTCAAGGCGATGTTTTGTCTTGTTTAAATCAACCAGTGGCGTTCGCGTAGCTCCACTTAGTTTTGCTGCTTCGAGTGCTGAATGTGGTGTGTTGGCCACATCCACTGCAAGAGACTGGTTCGTTTCAATTGTCAGGTTGGTAGAACGGAACTTCTCAGTTGATGTCTCGTTTAATCACTGCCCTTCATTCCACCTAACCAACGTTTATACTATAGGAAGTTAGTTCCCTCTGCACAGTGGAGGTCGTCAACGAAGACATCACGAGGTTTCAGTTAAAACGTCTCAGCAGTGGAGATAGCAGAGTATTATACCAGGACATAAAAGAACGAAAGCAACGACACGGAAGGAGCATAAGTGCTGCCTGAAATCTTTCAAACTCCGCACAACCCAACAGGCTCCATATTCAACTCGGGATTTTAACCCGGATCTTCAGAATTGCAGCATAAACAGGTGGTCTTGCTTCAAATGAAACGGGAAGATGTGAGTTCCATATGGCAGCGTAAATCCAGAAACAAATTACGTTTATTCGAAAAGGACTTATAGGAGAATAATTGCATACAGAGAGGGGTGCAGAGCAAATTTAAAGAGGAGGGAGGGGTCGTTAGGGGATCTGCTAGGGGGCGATGAAGCAGGGGCGGTTGGAGCTGTCACTGCAACCAAGGAGGCAAACATAAGTGGTGTTTCTCAAATGACTATCCTGCGATAATGGTGCTGCTGTAGCGTAACCTTAAACTGACACAGTTGGGGATGTGAGTTTACTGTTGCATGACCCAGAAATGCAGTATGGTCATCGCCTCACTCCTCCTATCTTGGGTGGAGGAGGTCATTTAGGCGTACCAATGCATTTGCCCTGTTTGACCCACGAATTGCTAAGAGGTATCAGTGAGAAGTAGGTCAATCCCATTCCAAATAACTGCTTGTGTTCTAACGCATTTCATTACGTCTGATCAAATGGGAGAGCGCTTAACATAGAAGTTGTGCAAGCCTTACATAAATTTACCTGCAAATTGTCCATTTGAGGCTTAAGAGGCCTTTGAAATGGTTCATTTTGAGGAGTGAAGACCGATTTGAATCAGGAGTTTTTAGAGTTAAATTGTTAACTTAAATCTTATCGACACATTTGGGAGTGTGATGAACTAGATCGTGAGTGTAGAACAGGAGCGTGTGATGAGACACTACGGGAGGATCGAATCATTCACCACTTGTTGGGCAGCGTTCAAGTAAAAGTGGTTCCGTAAAATGGGTGCACCCATGCCCTATACAGCGTATCATTCCAAGGAATGTGGAATGGCAAAAAGGTGACTGTGGTGTCGCAGGTGATAAGAACGAAAGGTTAGAGGGCTGTGCTCATACGAGGGACTTTGACTGCAGTCAATGAAATGAAGCAATCCACTTTTCCATCTTTGATGACTTGTTGGCTCATTTCGAGTGTTTGAGTTTATCCACAACCGATGAATGGATTTGTTTCCGTAACACCTGCAACAACCGCTTTGTAATAAAATCTGTGCTGCTGGACGCGATTTATTGATACATTTCTACCATAGTTCATGATATTTGTGTAATTCCATAATGATACTGTCCACTTCTCTGAACTATGCTGGACCGGTGTTTCATTGGCACATCAGGACTCCAGAATGGCCCTGGGTGTCGCATGCAGAAGTAACTCAGTGCGATGATATGACTCGAAGGTCTCACTTCACCACTGGACTCTTGTTTGCGTCGTATTAATGTGCAAGAAAGCCAAACGTGGGCAATTATGCCATAATTTTTGCTCTTACTCTATACCACCTTCATGCATATTAGAAGTCAGTACTGCGCACATTGGCCTTGGATGGCGCACCACTGAATGCTTTTGTAGGGTCTGCCAAGAGGGCATACAAGAGGATGTAGAATGATTAAGGGGGTACCCGCACAAGCAGAGCCATGGGGATATGTGTATTGTTGAACCAGCTGCGAAAGCTGTTATGTCATTTGTCAAACACAAAGTCGTAATCTGGCTAGTGAGTTTGCCCAACTAGTGCAAACAGAAAACGCATTGTCAACGAATGGTCCTTTTATAGTTTATCATCCACTGTTCAACTTTCCTCCAAGCTATGCCCATAATGTTTGAATGAAGCCAAGACGCATCAAGTGCTCGACCACAATGTAGCACTTTATTCCTGGTTATGCGTAATTTTTCCTTTAGACATTTTTAGGATTCTAATAATATTCTGAAGACGAAGGGAGATACAATATTGGGACAGAATCTGTAGATATTCGACATGTATAGGGCTTGGGGCTAGTGGCATGGACCAGAGGCCAGCTCATTCGGCGAAGGCACAATAGCGGAGCACCCAAGTGGCTTTGCAACAAAAGTGATATCTAAGTAAACAACCAACTTACTGCATAGCCCCTCTCCTGTTTCAAGCATCGCCCTCGGTACTCACCTTCCTCAACCTTTCACGTTAGCAATTACAACGCAGTCGGTGGTGTACAAAAGCACCCACGAGTCACTCATTCTAGTCGCCAAATTTTCATGCAACTTGCAAAGTACGCGATCGCAACGTAGCCACTCCCTCTTGGCAAT